CCAATCCTTGTATGCCATCTGCCTGGCTCTGCTTTTCTTTGTTTTAGCTTTGCTCTTGAAGCTCGTACTCCTGGGACTATATTCTGTGCTTATCAGTCTCACCCCAAAGAACGGGCCCATCTCCTGGTCATACCAGGAAAGCCCTGATTTAACTGACTCTGGGTCACAGGCCCAACCCTGAATGAATCTCTGTAGTGGCTGGAGATGGGGGTGGGGGTGGGGGTGGGGGTAGCCGAAGAGAAGATGTGACCGGATCCCTCTCTGGATCCTGGGGTGCAGTCAGCTTCTTCTGGGTCACATGACTGAAGGTGGGGGAAGATTGGGCTATTACGATCAGAAGGGCGATGAAAGCTGGGTGGAGTAAGGGTCAGTGCCTGCTGCTGGTGGGACAATGAAACGCGCCCTCAGAAAGGTATGAACCAAAGACTGTGGGAGTTCAGAGGAGGGAGATGTCATTTCCAGTTAAGGGGATCACGGAAGGCTTCATGGAGGAGGAAGCATCTGGGCTGGGCCTTGAAGGATGACTGCAGTTTGAATGGTAGATCTGGGGAGATGGGGAGGAAAGAATATCCTGGGCAGAGGGAACAATGTGGGCAAAAACCTAGAGATAAACACAGAGAGTAGCAAAGTCTGAAACAGTATGAGGAAAGGCCTTGAATGCCGGATCAAGGGGTATGGATTGAATATGGGAGGCATTCATGCATGGTTCTGGAGCCAAGGATGGGGGTGCTCATCAGATGTGAGCTCCTGAGAACTGGTACTGTTTGCCAGAGGGTCTGGACCCTCTGTTCCTCCCCATCCCCCTGGGTGCCCACAGTTCCCTCCTCCACTGGTTCAGCTCAGACAAGGCTGGAGCTTTCCAATAGAAATGTTCACAGGGCACCTGGGTGGGTTGGTTGGTTAAGCATCCAACTCTTAGTTTCGGCTCAGGTCATGATCTCACGGTTTGAGGGTTCAAGCCCCACACTGGGCTCTGTGTTGACAGTGCAGAATCTGCTTGGGATTCTCTCTCTCCCTCTCTGTCTACCCCTCCCCTGCTCATACTCTATCTCTCTCTCTCTCTCTCAAAATAAATAAATAAATAAACTTAAAAAGAAAAAAAAGAAATGCTCACTGAGAGGGGTGCCTGGATAACTCAGTCAGTTAAGTGTCTGACTTCAGCTCAGGTCACGATCTCATGGTTCATGAGTTCAAGCCCCGCATCAGGCTCTCCACTGTCAGTGCAGAGCCCGCTTTGGGTTCTCTGTCTCCCTTTCTCTCTGCCCCTACCCTGCTCGCTCTCACTCTCTCCCTCAAAAATAAATAAACTTTTAAAAAAAGACATGCTCACTGAGAAACAGGGAGAGTGAAAGTACCAAATGCGATGACAGAGCTTAGCTTTGTCCTTCCGAAGTACCGAAAGCCTGAGTACCTTTGACATCTTCCCTTACTCTGGGCTTAATTTCCTCTCTCCCACCCTGGGGGCTGAGCCCGAGGTGGGGTAGGTAAAGCGCAGAGGTGTCCACTCTCTGGGTCCCTCCGGCTCTCCAGCATCCATTTCCTGCCTTACCCCTCTCCTGCCCGCAATAGTACTTGTTCTGCAGTTGCCCTGGCTCAGGGCAAGGGGGTTACCCTCAATTCTCACCCCCCATTTCCTCCCCTGACACTGCCCCCATTTTATCACTCAGAGATATCTCCGAGATGTCTGCCAAGAACCAGAGGAAGATTAGCCGAAGCGCCTCCAGTAGGGCCAAGGACCAGTCAAAGGTGTGAGCTTTGGAGTTAGTCAACCTGTGTTTGAATTTTGCCTCTGTGTCTTAAGGACCAGATGCATAACCTTCCCAAGCTTCTGTTTCCTCTTGGGCAAAGTGGAACGACTAAGCTCAGCCTCACAAGTATGATGGGAGGATTAAATGGGGCCCTGCATGTTTTATCCAGGCACACGGTACATCTACAGTAAATGGTGACAATGACGATAGTGGAGACGAGGAAGAGGAAAGAACCAACCAAGGAGAGAGGAAGGACCAGCAGAGTCCCTTGGAGCTCTGAGCTTAGCATGACGCCATGGACAGAGTGCAGGGGCCGAGGGCAGCATGAACCCCAAACCAAGCTCCTGGACTTTGAGCTCTTCTGGCCCTGCTGGGCTCAGGGAATGCCCAAGGGAACATCAAATCATCCAGCCTGGAGCTCCCCAAATTAAGGGAGGCGTCCTGCCATAGGGCCCTGAAAAGTCACACTGTGCCAAAATGCCCCGGGGGGCGGGGGGGGGGGAACAAAATGCCCCTGAGCCCCAGATTCCCCCACAAATTTGGGGGCAATGTTCGGGGTTTTTGGCCCCCCCCCCCCCCCCCCCCCCCAGCTTCCAGAAGATCAGGCTTTCAACAGGGTTTCTACAAAGCTCAGGATGGCTGGAACAGGCCGGAAGGATGGGGTGAGGCTGGCCAGGAGGAGGATAAAGGCTCAAACCAGTGGTCACCAAGCTTTTCTGATCCCCTCTCAGGAAAATAATTTGAGAAAATTTCCCCCCACATGTGTTTATTTACTGAGGAACACATACTATTACACTAATATACTATGCCCACTATAAAATTATATATAAATAGAACATTTTTTTTAATTTTAATGTTTATTTATTTTTGAGAGACAGAGAGCAACAGAGCACAAGCAGGGGAGGGGCAGAGAGAGAGGGAGACGCAGAATCGGAAGCAGGCTCCAGGCTCGGAGCTGTCAGCACAGAGCCCGAAGTGGGGCTCGAACCCGCGAACTGTGAGATCATGACCTGAGCTGAAGTTGGACGCTTAACTGACGTCCAACTGGCTCACCCACACAACGGATCGCTACAGAGCTACAAAAAAGAATGAAGTCTTGTATGCCCATAATAAGAAGAGAACTAGATTTGAAAACAGATACAATTTTGAATAGACATTTTATCAGAGAAGGTATATGAATGGTCCATAAGCACATGGAAATGCTCCATGTCGTTTACCATTAGGGAAATGCAAATTAAAACCACACAAGATACCCCTTCGCACCCTCTGGCAGGGCTGGAATTAAAAAAGATTGTAACAAGTGTTCAGGCATGCTCACACATTGCTGGGGAGAATGTAAAATAGTGCCCTGCTTTGGAAAAAAAGCTTCACAGTTTCTTAAAAAGCTAAACCCATCCCAACCACATGAGCCAACCATTCTCCCAGGGGTCTGCCCGAGAGGATTAAAAACGTGGGCACCCCAAAGGCCTGTCCGCGAATGCTCATAGCAGCATTATGCACACGATAAACCCCTGTGAACGTCCGACGAGGCATCAATTTGTGAATGGACAAACACAATGTGAAATGCCCATGCAATGGAATACTGCTCAGGAGCAAACGCATGAAACCCGCTGCAACACGGACAAACCTCAAAGACCCGAGGCCCAGTGAAAGAAACCAGACACAAACGACCACATGTTGTATGATCCGTTCAGGAGAAATTTCCAGGGAAGGCCAGCCCTCGAGACAGGAAGCAGCTCAGTGGTTAGCGGGGTGGGGTGGGGGTGGGGGTGGGGATTAAACTCCAAAAGACCCCAGAAGCTTTACGGATGATGGAAGTGTTCTAAAACCCATTGTGCTCAAGGCTGCACAAGCCTGTAAATTTACTGAAAATCATTGCACCGTGCCCTAACAACGGATGAATTTCGTGCAAAATCTATCAGGAAAGCTGTTTTTCGTATGTGCGCTCCCAAAGCGAGCACAGTGGAGCTATTTTTAAAAGCACAAAACGAGGAAGCTCTTTAAGCATCCGTAGAGAAAGGTCTCCAAGATGTGTCGGTTGGTAAGTGGAAAAAGCCAGGTGCGAGTATACCGCTGTTGACGCCTTTTGAAAAAGAAAAGGGGTGCATAGATGGGTTGTGTTCACATTTGTATTTCTACATTTCCACACAGACACGCCGCATGGAATTGCCCGCGTCTCATAGCCTCTGTCTGGGAGGAGACAGAAGAGCTGGCGGTGACCTTGGAGTGTTGGGTGACGGAGCCGCAGGGCTGTTGGACAGGAGTGGAAGACTGACTTTTGTGCCTTTACATTTTTCTTCTTTTCTGAACACACTGTGGCAAAATGCACGTAACCTAGGCTTTACCAACTTACCAATTCGGAAGCGCCCAGCTCAGAGGCATGCGGTCCATTCCCACGGCTGTACGGCCATCCCCACTGTCCGTCTTTCCAAATAGAAACTCTGTGCCCGTTAAACACCCACTCTCCATTCCCCACCCCTTCTTGCCACTTCTTTTTTTCTAAATTCTTTTTTAAGGTTTTATTTAGTTTTGAGAAAGAGAGAGACAGAGAGACACAGAGAGAGAGAGGCAGTGAGAGGAGGACAGGGGATCCGAAGCCGGCTCTGTGCTGACAGCAGAAAGCCCCATGCGGGGCTCAAACCCATGAACCGCGAGATCATGACCTGGGCCCAAGTCAGATGCTCCACCAGCACAGCCACCCAGGTGCCCCCACTCTTGCCACTTTCTACAAGTGGAATCACACAGGGCTTGCCTCTTTGTCGCTGACTGCTTTCACGTAGCATGACGTCCTAAGGTCCATCCATCCTGCAGCACGTGTCAGAATTCGCTTCCTTTTTAAGGCTGAATGATATTCCATCGCGTGCATATACTGCATTTGGTTTGTCCATTCAGCCCTCCGTGGACACCTGTGCCTTCACCTTTTGGATACTGTGAAGACGGGTGTACAAATACCTCTTTGAGACCCTTGTGTCTACCTTTTTGAGGTGTATGAAGACACTAGACATTTGAAAAAAATAATTCAAAACGAAAAGGATGGTCTACAAATAGACATGGAAGGACTGTTTCTTCCCACATCCTCTTCGGAGGCCCCTGAGCAGGGGCGGGGGGGAAGGGGGGCCTCCCAGGGGGAGCTTTGGCCGCGGAGGCGCGGGGCCGGGAGAAGGGGGCGCGCAGGGCAGCGCCAGATGCTGGGGGTCGGCGGGGTGGGTCTTGCTTAGTCACCCGCGACTCTGGCGCACAGCGGTGCCCTCGCCTCGCCTGCCCGCCGCCGCCCACCCCCGGCCCGGCGATCGCCCCGCCGCATTCCTGCGCGCTGCCTGCTGCCGACCCGGTGACTCACGGCCCAGGCAGCCCGGGAACGCCCGGCCTCGTCCTGGGCCCGCAGCCGCTGGTTTTCCTATTTGGAAACTCCTTAGCCGCCTCCGCGCCAGCCACCCGGTCTCCTCCCAGGTCCCCCGTAGGCGGCTGGGAAGGAGGGCAGGGAAGCCTGGGGACAAGCGCCTTTTCTGCGGAGGGGGACCCACGACCGGCCTTAGAGAGGATGGGTGTATGCTTCCTTGTCCCCAATTCAAGAATCTCCAAATGCCCGGCAGCCACATTTACAGGATGGCAAAACCTGGCTTGAACTGCAAAGAGACGGAGTTGCAGTCTTTATCCTGCTGAAATGTGGACGCTTATACATTTTGCTGCAGAAATGTACCCATCTTGAGTACAGGAGAGTCTGTCCTAGGTTCCCCGGGAGGTGCTGTATCATATACAATTGATGCATATTTTAGAATCTCCTTTCTAAAATCTGAAAAATTCTGAATTTGAAAACCCATCTGGCTCCCAGGAGTCTAGGTAAGAGACTGTGGGTCTGTGTTGTGCCTCTTTTTCCCAGCAGAGTCAAGGCTGGGGGGGGGGGGGGGGGCCGCGGGGGTCACAGCTGCCAATGGGCTGGTGGGTCCATGTCTGAGTTGCTCTCTCTCCCTGACCTGCCTCCCACAAGACTCTGCCTCCCCTGTGTCCCACCTCCTCGCCTGTCCCTCCTCTGGGAAGCTTTTCTTGTCCACCCCAGCCAAAGCGGACCTTTCTTTCCCCGTTGGGTCCCAGAGCCCAGGCCAGTGCCTACCCCTTATGGATACTTGCTGGGAGACTGGAGACCACGGTGGTGAGCTAGCGGGCTGACCAGAGGCTCCAGCCCCTCAGGATCTAGCCTTGATTTGGCCACACTGCAGTGGTGTGACGTCGGACAGGTTACCTAGCTCTCTTGTGCCTCAGTTCCCTCATCTGTAAAAGGGCAGAATAATAATACTCCTCCCAGAGCGTTGGCGTGACAATTAGAGAATAAAATGCAAAACACCCATATTGAGTGGGGACATACTTATACTAAAAAAACTATTTGTTGTTTACCTGCAATTTAACGGGGTATCTTGTATCTTTACTTGATAATCTGGCAGCTCTAGCCTGGCACAGAGATAGCTCCCGGTGTACATTAGCTGGTGTATTAATAATAAATGTTGAGTGACGTGAAAAGCTTTTTATCACAGTATTTGTATGTGCCTGATCTTTCCCCAGTAGTTTGAAGGCACTTAAAATTTTTTTTTTAAATGTTTATTTACTTTTTGAGAGAGAGAGAGAGACAGAGTGTCAGCGAGGCAGGGACAGAGAGAGAGAGGGAGTCACAGAATCCAAAGCGGGCCCCAGGCTCCGAGCTGTCGGCACAGAACCCGTCGCGGGGCTTGAACTCACAAACCAGGAGATCATGACCCGAGCCGAAGCCGGATGCTCAACTGACTGAGCCACCCAGACGCCCCTAAAGGCACTTTAAAAGCATTCATTCATTCATTCATGCATTCATTCACTTAACAATTATTTACTGGACATCTTTTATATGCGAGTCACGGTTCCAAGCCTTGAGGATAAAGCAGTGAACCAGAACTAGCCCCTACCCTCATGGAGCTTCCAGTCTGGCCAAGGAGAGGAATATTAAGCGTGAATGACCCCGGACGATGAATAAGCATTGCGACAAGCCCCAAGCAGACGTCCTGGCCAAGGACAGGCTGGGTGGGCACCCGAGCCTCAGACTTTTCCATCTCCTCTCTCTCACTCTCACCCTCAGTGTCCCCCCTGGTGGGTGCCTGGATGGGGTGTTGGGGGACAAGGGCTCGGAGAGATGCTCTTGATCCCTGGGAAGGAGGGTCGTTGTACAGGGTGGTTCCCACGGTGGGGCTGACACCCCCGAGCCATCCACACTGTCCCCAGCCTCCCTGGGAATGGGGTGAGGTGGGAGGGATCAGGTGTGGCCGCGGAGAGGCTCCACCTGAGACCAAGGTGGATCTGGGGACTTCATCTTTAGGAACACTTTGTGTGTTTGTCTAGCCGGCGGGCTCTGGGTGGGCGCTAAGAGAAGGGGTTTGGGGTGAATGATTTCTCTCGAGAGGGCGGTCAGCTGGTGATGTCAGTGGAGGGGAGCGCCTTTAAAGATCAACTGACTTGACATTTGATGGATGAGGAAACGGAGCACTAGAGAGGGAAGTGACTTCTGAAGGTCACACAGATCTCTCCCGGAGGAGCTGCCACCAAAACCCAGACTGACTCCCGGGCCAGAGCCCCTGCCCTGCCCCCTCCCGGCCACAGTCCCCATGGTGTTAAAGGAGAAGGCCGTGTGAGATCACCACCTTCTCACTGGGAATCCCCAAGGAGGGGTCACCTGGGAGCCAGCAGCCCTCCCTCTCCCACAGCCCCCAGGCAAGTTTCTGGGCGGTTTGGGCCCCTGGCCTCGGTCTGCAGCTCCCAGAGGGGGTTGGTGGTGGGGCGGGGGGGGGGGGGGGGGGCCGCTGAAAGCCGACCTCAAACAACAAATGAGAAATCTGAAAAAGTTTCACTTCCCAGATTTCACTGTGGTGGCTACACTCCGGGCAGTGGGATCTGACATCCCTCATGCTCCCTCACCGGCTCCTTTTGAAAACCCTGAGGAGTTTGACTTGTGACCTACCCACTGAGGGCTCCTCCTCCCTGGTCCCCAGTGCTATGTCCTGATTCAGCACCCCCCCACACACACATCCAGAAGGGGTTCCCTGAGCATGCACACCCCCACCTCTCAGAACCACCCATCCAGCCCAGCAGTCCCCGATCCTCTGTGTAGATCCAGGCTGGGATGCCCGTGAGGGACAGGATAGAACTTTCCCCTCATGAGTGTCCTCTCTGTCCCCTCTCCATGCCCAGATCCACTGCCTTGGTGAAGACCCTGCCCTCTCTTTCCTGGCAGCCTGGCATCCCGTGAAGTCCTATGGCCTAATGTGTAGACTCTGCCTTCAGACCTCCCAAGTGCATCTGGGGCCACCACTCCCGGCTTTGTGTGGCAGTTTGAAAACGTACCCACAAATTCTTTGGCACCGTGCCCGTCAAGAAATGGGGCCTACGTCTTCTCTCCTCGAAGCTGAGCCAACCTTAGAGAGGCCGGTGACAATAGGGGACGGCAGAAGTTATTGTGATAGGACTTCCAAGGCTAGGTCTTAAGGACACTTCAGCTTCCTTCGAGTTCTCCAGGGACAGTGACCTTTGGCACTAGGAGCTGCCATGTAAACGGTACAAACTCCGCCATATTTGTGGAGGTGTCTGGCCAGCAGTCCCAGCCAAGGTCCGTGTGGCCAGCCAATGTCAACTGGAGACAGCGAGGGGCTCTGCACTTAGGAATGGATGAGCCAGGGGGACCTGCCAGGGTGCTGGGAGCTTCTCCATCAGGGCCCCATGGGCTCAGAGGGTCAGAGCCCCCCCACATCTGAGCTCACAATAGTGAGAGAGCTTGGCTCTGGAGGTTGCTCCCACCCTTCCTCTGGGCAGAGTCACTGGGTTAGAAGGGACCAACGATCTGGCCTGTTGAAACACGCTCACTCTCTAATCTGTGTTTCCTTTATACTCTACCCAGTAGAGTATGAACTCCACAAAGACAGGAGCTCACCGGAGTTTATCTATGTTGTAGTCTGCTACATCTCCAGTACTTACAACAGTGACAGTAGGTGCTCAGTGAACATTCACTGAGTAAGTAAATGGATGGATGGATGGTGTGTCTATTACTGTGAGGCCAGACCAGCTGCACCACTCGCTCCTCTGGGAAATGGGTGCCATGATGGGACCTATCCATCAGGAGTGTTGGTGGTGACTTGAGAGAATGGGCCGGTGCCCCTGCCTAGAGCATTGCTAAAGTTCAGGAGGGGATTATGGGGATCGTTAGCATTACTGGTCGCCACAGGTTGAGTCTCCTTGTGACCAGAAAGACAAATCCGGGGTTTTTAAAGGCCCTTGGCCCAGGCTTCATGGAGATGCCCAACCCATGAACATACTGGGGCTTCTGACCCTCCAAGCAGATGAGGTACCTCCTTGGGGCTCCCGTAGGCCCCCACACCCTGTGTTCCCCAACCCCAGCTCTGGCACACAGATCACCTGTTGGTCTGTGAAATCCCAGGGGCTGGGGATCGGGCCTCACCCCCTGTATCCCAGGGCCTAGCCCCACTCCTGCCCGGTGAGTGCTGGGGAAAGGACAGCCAGGAGAACGAGTCGGTCAGAGCTTCCTCTGAGATTGCCCGATACCTTCCCGGTCATCAGATTCTGACCCAAAACCCCAGAGCTTCCCTCCATGACACTGTAAGGATTACAACCAAGACGGCGGATCACACAGGGCCAGTTTCTTCTCGTTTCCTCCCCAGGCGGGAGTGCCATGGGAGCCTGTCGAGAGGAAGGCGGAAGCAGTATTAACCAGGCCGCCCCTGCACACACGGATAAGGTGGCATGGCCCTCTGGGAGGCACCGGCTTTCTGCGCAGCAAACACAGCAGGGAGACCGCGGAGGGGCTTGGTGGCTAATCTGGTTCCCCAAGCTCCCCACCGCCCTCCTCGTGGTTGAAGAGGTTCGTTAGGCAGGACCTCTCTGGTGCCCACAGAGATTATCTGCAAAGCAGCAGGGGTGAGGAGACAGGGGGCCTGCCCTCCCTCGGGCCTTCAGGTACCCGCACCTGGGTCCGTGCAGCCTCGGGCTTGGCTGGGAGGGAACGGAAGGAGAGATGGGGCAGGGAGAGATCGTTCTGCAGTTCCCGAAAAGCTAGTTTTAACCGCTGCTAACAGCTAGTTAACTTCTGACCCTCCTTGGGACCGTTCCTCCCTCCACAGTGCCCTCTGCTATGACAACCCACGGTCTCCACATCCTCTTCTTCCCCTCTCCTGGCTGCCCAGCTGGCTCGTCTTCTACCTCTGCCAGCGGGCAAGTCTGCCACAGGTCGGCAAGGCCCACTCCCTCTTCAGGCCTCTCTGTAACCCCTTTGCAGCCCTTTCTGGGGACCTTGGGGTTCTAGGGTGTCCCCTCACCTCCTGGCCCTGGTGGAGACTTCCCAGCAGCCTCCAAGAGGAGGAACCTTGGGGCTGGGAGGCAGGGAAGGGCATCCTTCTGGTTTCCCCTGTGCCTCTTACAAACCATTCCTTCTCCGCCTTCCTCCTTCAACCCCTGGGCTCATTTGAATACACCCCAACCGGCTACATCTCCCCTGCCCCTGCCTGCCAGCACCAGGTCCACCACCTCCCGGCCACTCCCCTGCATTCTGGGGGTGCTCACCGCCGGCCTTCCACCCCAGCCTCCTTCTCAGTGACTCCAGCACTCACACGACTCCCTGTCCACACCCTGACCTCCTCACCCCCAGACATCACTTTCTCCGCTCTGCCCAGCTGCCCACTCCCAAGGTCATACCCTACACCTTGCCTCGTTGCTAATAGTACCATTCCTGGATTTCCACCCCGGCCACACCTCTTATCCTTCCAGGCCCCTTCTATAACCACCCCCCCCCCCGCCCCCCCCCCCCGGAGCCCCCCCACTCCCTCACTGGCTGTCACCCCTCTCCTTGCCACCTTGGCGTCCACGGTCTACCATTTTGGTTATTCTTTTGCAACAATCCGGACTCTTGTTCCCTGCCCCCTTTGTCACGTGTGCCTGGCGGAGCCTCACGGTGGCTGAAGCCAGCTCTCCGCTTTCTCCCCACCTGCACCAGAGAAGCGGGAAGTTTTTGAGGCCATCCCACAGGCCCGCTTCCCTGGGCGCGCCTTAACCTCGGCCCTGCCTGGAAACTGCTCCCTTTCCCTGGTGTGGACATGGACAGAACTGGCTGGGTGTAGGCGGAGGGAGAGAAAGGATACAGAGAGGACTTAGACATTTCTGGCTGGAGCAGTAGGGTGTGTGGTGGTGCCCGTTTTCTGAGACGGGAAAGATGGGGAGAAACAGGCTGGGAAGAGAAACCGAGGCTCCTAGCCCTTGGTTCTGACAGTTTTGCCTCCCATGTGGATCTTAAGCCGATGAAAGTCTCCCACCTTTGCCGCCTCCAGCTTGGGCCTGTGGTCTTGTTAAAATACATCAATGAGAATATCTCCTCCTTAAACCTTTTTATTTTTATTTGTTTATTTTTCGAGGGGGGAGCAAAGAGAGAGAGAGAGGGAGAATCCCAGGAGGGGCAGAGAGAAAGGGGGAGAGAGAGAGAGAGAGAGAGAGAAGCAGGGCTCACCCGAAGCAGGGCTTGGGCTCACCTGATGTGGGAATTGGGCTCACGAACCGTGAGATCATGACCTGAGCCAAAGTCAGATGCTTAACAACTGAGCCACCGAGGCGCCTCTCCTTGAACCCCTTTAATGCATCCACATCTCACTGTAGAATGAATCCAGGTATCTACACGATCTGGCTGCTGGCTTCCTCTTCTACCTCATCCCTTCCACGCCTCCGTTTTACCCCCATGGAACATTCCGGTTCTGAGCGTCTTCCTCCCCTTCTCTGATGCCCCAGGCATCGTCCCCACCGCCGGCACCTGGACGAGCGCGCGGCCTGCCATGCTCTTTCCGTGGCTGGTGACTTCCCAGATGCCACCTTCTCGGAGGGCCCTTCCTTGAGCACACGTCCGGCCCAGCCCCCCCAGTCACGCCGTGTCACCCCTTGTCGCGCCACCGTGCTTATCATCTCTCTCAGAATTTGTCCTAATCCGAGGCCACCTCGTGCGTGTGTTGGAGTTCATTCTTTCACACCCACTGGCGAGAGGCGCCTGGCCGGTCCAGCTTGCCTTACGTCCCTGGCACCGGATACACGCCAGGCGCTCAATAGGTACGTGTTAAACGTATCAGTGACAGAAGGAAGGAAGCGATGGGGGGGTGGATGCATCCGAGCGTGGATGGAGGGGGTCCTTCCTCTAGGGCTGCTGTGAAGAAGAGGGGGATGCTGGGTGTGAAATCACCCTGCCCGCCTCACCCCTCACCGGGCCCAACCCCAGCTGTATCACATTCCCTCCCAGGCCCTGCCGTTCCTGCCTCCAGCCCTGGGGTCACAAAGTACCTCCCTCCCAGGATGCCTCCAGAGGGGCCGACTTGCTTGATCCTCCACAACGTTGTTCCTCCCTTGCCGGATTCTTTCACAGACACTCAGGCATTGGGAAGAGCTGAGAATGAGCCTGAGGTCCCTGCCTTCGTGGCACTTACATTCTGTGGACTGATCAGCAATCGAAACGTTAACCTCCCTCCAGGAAGCCTTCCCCAGTTTCTCCTCCCCGAACTGGTGCCTCTGACCACCTTCGGGTCCCTGTGCCCCGCCCCCACGGCACGCCCCACCATGTACTGTGAATTTCTGTGGGGATCTGTCTCCACTTCGAAGCCAGGGGAACCTGGATTCTCGTGTTTCCCATCTCTTATCCTGACCGGCATGGGTCTTGGTGGTAACTGTACCTTTGGGTCGCACTCCACGGGCTGGAAAGGTGAGGCGCAGCGTTCCCGGCTGAGGGCCGTAATGGGCAGAGCCGCGTCACCGCGTGAGTGCCCGCAGGTTTGGGAAGAGCGTGGGGTGCAGGGCGGTGGGGCGAAGCCACACGTGAGCCGCATCTTGGACGGCTGTGCGGGTTTCAAATGGGGTTCTGTAGCGCTTGTCTTGCCGAGAGATATGTCCCGATTTACTAAACCACCAAGGAAGCCACGGACGTGCTCACATGTGCAATCACGTCTGACCAAGTTGTCCCACTCTCCCCAGTGCCCTGCTGAAAACTCCTAATAGTTTGAAACTGTCACTGCCTCACACAGCGAGTGCCTGGCTTGGGGAACCTGTTAGGCCACCAAGAGGTTAAGTGGGAGCTGGAGGCACTGTCATGGGTGACCTATCCATATAGGGTGGTAACGGGAACTGGGATGACTTGGGGACATCCCTAACCTTTGAGGCTGACGTCATTCTGATAACCACTCACCCACAACACATCTCGTGGTGCCAAAGAGGTAGATGAGGTCCCCAACGCAGGGCTGTGTGGCTAATACTCTTCTGCGCACGCAGAAGGAACCAGCAGAGAAACCAGAATCATTCCAAGAGCTGTTCATTTTTCCATGCAGCAAACTGTATAAACTCTACATGCTTGTGGCTGGAATAGCAAAGAGGGGGCAGGGTTAATCTCATGTGGGGGGTAGCATCACACAGGAGGAGGTGTCTGAGCTGGGCATTGAAGGATGGGCAGCATGATCTCCAGGCGGAAGGGCATTCCAGGGGAGGGAACAGCAGGACCAGACACTTGGCGTGAGACAGCAGGGCTTGCATGGGGAGCTGCAGGCAGCTGGATGTGGCTCCTGTCCACTGTGTGTGCCCCGTGCTGGACCACTTCATTCCACTGATCAAACCCGTCACCCTCCAAAGTGATTTTTGTAGACGAAGGAACTGGTGCTCAGAGAGGTTAGGTAACTGGTCTCAAGTCCCACAGCCAGTGGCAGAGCTCAGGTTCAAATTCAGGTTCATCAGATTTCCAAATCTGTGCTTCCATCCGCCATGCTGAATTGCCCCATAACAGGATGCAGGACCGAGGAGCCAGAGGTGGCCATTTGGACTTGATTCTAGAAGGCTGAGTCCCCTGAACGCCTGCCACTTGTACTCCACCTTCAAGAGAACTGTCACATCTCAGACTTTCATTTCCTTAATGCTGTCTTTAAATGTTTTACTTAAAAAATTTTTGAGTACTTTTTCTCGGTGTATAACATACCTATGAAAAGGACACAGATCAGGGGCGCCTGGGTGGC